CAATCCCTTGCTTCCCAGTTCATTTGCTGAATGCCCATCCTTTAAAAAAAATCAATTCTTATACCCCGCCTTTATTATTTTTATAAATAACTCAAGACAGCAAACACACATTCCTCCCTCCTATTTTCCATACAATAACCCTATGAGGTGAATTAGGCCAAGGGAAAAAGTGACTAGCTCGAAGTCACACCACCAGCTTTTTTCATATCTAAAGCAGCACTAGAACTCACATCTCTTGATTTCTAGCTTGGTGCCTTATGCCAGTGGAGCAAACTGGCTCTTTTCATCTTTTTCTGCTGAAAGAAATGTTATCATCAGCCTGCTTCAAGTTGCCTACTCAATCTGTAATCTTCAATGCAATTCCTTCAGGTAGGGTCTGACCAATGCAGAATAAAGTAGAATTATACTTTGTCTATGTATTTCTATTGATAAGGCCTAAAAGTGCATTTACTTTAAGTCTTTGGAGGGTTTGCAGCTGCATTCCATCTTGATTCAGTTTGTAATCAGCCAACATTTCAATATATCAAGTGCTATCACCCAAAAAATCATTTCTCATCTGCATTTGATTTCTGCTACCTACTTCACATTTGCTTCTGTGACTATTCTCAATCTAATTCTTTGGACTGAATTTTATTTTTCTCTTCTATATCAACTTCCCTTCCTGTGTCATCCACAAATTTAACTAAGTACCTCTCTATCTCCTCATCTAGATTAGTAATAAACATGTGTTCAATGATGAAGTCTTTGTGCCTAACTCCAGCATTCTTTGAATATGGTTTTCTAATTTTCTATTCTTGCTATGGAGATTCTCAATCATCAGGTCATGAATGTCCTGAAAGTGCTTTTTCAAAAGATAAAGAAAAAACAAAAGGACCAGTTGCCTTTTGAAAAAACACCTTTGGGTTTATCTTCTAACCCACTTGGTAACAATCATGTAATAGTTTCTTAATAATCATGTTAATAATAATATTAATAATATTATATATTAATAATTAATAATATTAAATCATCATCATCATCATCATTTCTTAATAATCATGTAATAGTTTCTCTGTGATCATATTAAGAGCAACTGCATTCTCTTTGCTGATGATATAAAGCTATTCAATACCACAGACAATATTACTACCCTCCAAAAAGACCTTGACTATGTATCAGAATGGTCAAGCAAATGGCAACTTCAAATCTCAACAAATAAATGCTCTGTCTTACATATTGGCAGAAAAAATCAGAAAATAAAATACAAGCTAAATAGTCAAAACCTTGTTGAGGATCCAAACTTTGTCAAGGACCTTGGAGTACTCATCTCTAATGATCTAAGTGCTAGAGCCCACTGTAACTACATCGCCAAAAAGGCATTAAGAGTTGTTAATCTAATCCTACGTAGCTTCTTCTCTGGTAATATCACACTACTAACTAGAGCATACAAAACATTTGCTAGACCTATACTTGAACACAGCTCATCAGTCTGGAACCCGTATCATGTATCTGATATTAACACAATTGAAAAAATCCAGAAATATTTCACAAGAAGAGTTCTCCGCTCCTCTACTCATTGCAGAATACCTTATGCCACCAGACTTGAAACTCTAGACCTAGAAAACCTAGAACTACGCTGCCTCCAGTCCGATCTAAATATAGTATATAAAATCATACATTGCAATGTCCTAACTGCAAATGAATACTTCAGCTTTTATCATAACAACACAAGAGCACACAATAGATACAACCTCAAGATTAACTGCACCAAACTTGATTGCAGGAAATACGACTTCAGCAACAGAGTGGTCAATGTCTGGAATACTCTACCTGATTCTGTGGTTTCTTCCCCAAACCCCCAAAACTTTAACCTTAGACTGTCTAGTATTGACCTCCCCCCCTTCCTAAGAGACCTGTAGGGGACATGCATAAGCACACCAATCGTGCCTACCATCCCTGTCCTATTGTTTTTTATTTTTCTTATAAGTATCTATCTCATGTATTCAAAATTATATTTATTCTTATACCTGTATCTTGTAAGCGATTGACAAATCAAATAAATGCTAAAATATATTTTTGTAAAACTGAAAAAGGACTGCAGCATTCTCTTAGAATCTACCAACCGCCCACTATTCAGTCAAACTATGAATTAAAATTTCTGACAAAGTTTGTTGATCTCAATTACTAGTGATTAAATTGCTAGTCTAATATCCAACTATGGTACTTTGATTTGTCTGTATTGCCCAGCTGTTCCTTTAATCCTGATTTGAGGACAGAGACACTTGCCTTCCTCGAGTAACTAGGCTCATCACATGTTCTCAAGGACTTTCCAGGACGTAATAAGAATATAACAAAATAAATCTCTGTTATTGTTATTAAGATCGTTTGTTAATTTTGAGCATTCATTTTCCTTTTACCAGTTATGGAATTGTATGCTATTTTATTTTTTCCCTAAGGTAGCCAATTCCCATCTTCAGGAATTTGTTCTTGAGATGCTTTGCCAGTTTTAATAGCTATTTGCTTGTTATTACAGTGGTTTTGATGACTTGTCAGCTCTGAACAATAATTTAAAGTTTATTACAGATTTATTTTAATCCGTTCTCATTATATATCAATCCTCTTTGAATTCAAAGCTTTTATTTGGAATCCCTAGCTTTTTTATATACATATCAATAGCTATTCTGTAGTTCAAAATAGTTTCATTTCATTTTTCACTATGTATAATATCCTCTGACTTTCCCTCTATTTGGGAGATGAAAAAGTTTATCCTTTTAAAACCAAGGGAGAAATTGCTGCCCTCACCCCACTTTCAACTAGGGCTGTGTATGTAATTTGGTGAAAAGCAAATATCCTGACCTAAACCAATGTTTCTCAACCTCCATAACTTTAAGTCGTGTGAACTTTAATTCCCGGAATTCTTCAATTCCTTATAATGCTGGCTGGGGAAGTCTTAAAGTTGCCAAGGTTAAACAACACAGTGGTCAAAATGGAAAATTTATTTAGTTTTGAAATGAAGCCCCATGTAGGTCAGTGCTGCTCTGTCCTTGGCTAGTTTCGCCGGCTTTATCCCCAGGGGTGGGATTCTACCGGTTCGCACCTATTCTCTAGAACTGGTTGTTAACATTCTAAGCAGTTCGGAGAACCAGTTGTTAGAAGAAATTACTGGCCTAATCCTGTAAGGAAGGCAGGAACAACATTCTGGTGTTGCTTACAGAAACTGCCTCTCCGTTAACCTTTATTACATTCTTGGCTGGACTAGACTTCCTGTCTCAGGAACTTCTCTGGAGTTTTTTTTCCCTCCTTTGCTGGTACTTTGCTTGTATGGAGTGACCATTCAAAGTTGCAATGGCACTGAAAAAAGTGACTTATGACCATTTTTCACACTTACGACTGTTGCAGCATCCCCACAGTCATGAGAGGCCAGGCGAGGAGATGCGTGCCTCGATGTGAGTGATATTGAGTTGGCCACGCCCAGCCAATAACATGACCACTAAGCCATGCCCACCAACTAAGCCACACCCACAGAACCGATTGTTAAAAAATTTGAATCCCACCCCTGCTTATCCCGCTGTCGCTCTTTCGCTTCTCATCACCCATACCCTTAAAGATGCAGTGGAGATTAGCCCTTAGCCACCAGCCCCAGCCCCAGCCCCAGCCTTGACACAGCTGACAGGATGGTAGCTCAGGTTAAAAGATGATCAGTTTCTTCAAATGAGGAGAGGAAGGGAGATCTTTGCCTTAGAAGTGGGCAAAAAAGAAAAAAAGGACCATGAAAGAGGCAGTTCAGCCCAGTAAAAAGACATTTTCACCCTCGACAAATGGAATGGGAAGCCCTTGTTGTTGTTGTTGTTGTATGTATGTCATTAGCAGCAACCACTGGCAAAGGGAGGACAGTTTGCCCAGTGAGAAAAGCAAGATCACGAGGGTCAATAAAATAGGCAGCCAAGGACTGCTTTGGAAAAAACAAAAGTGGCTTTAAAAATCAACTCTCCCCCCCCCCCCCACCCCTCCAATCCACGAACCGAGCCAAGCGGTGGGTGTTCTTAGCAGGAGATCCGTTTTATCTTTTTAACAGATAAAATCCGGTGGTGTGGCGAGGTTTATTCAAGACAACCAGAAGAAATGATTGGATCTACGAAGCCCCAATTTAGGAGCTTTGGAAGGTCCGTTACAGGAAATCTCATTGGTTTAGAATTTGACTGCTGGTTTCCTTTCATGTTCTTTCTTCAACCAACCCCAAATACGTGAATTATTGTTGATCTCTGGCAAATTTCAAGGACTTGGCCTGAAAAATCAAGGGCCATATTTGCAAACTAGGGTGCGTGGTGCGGTAGTGTGGGTGGTGCGTGTGCGTGTATTTACACCCTGGTCAGTGAATGGCCGTGTTCCCGCGACACCCACGCAGCCAACCGCTTTCCACCCCGTGCATAGTGCCACCTCAGCCTGTGCGGGTAGTTGTCGGTCCGGCACGTCGGCGAACCCGCAGAGCTCCATTAAAGCGCCGAATTCGGCGTGCAGCGCTCGGAGCCGTTACTTGGGAGGCTGCTTTCTTAACCTGCCCTGCTTGAGAAGGGCGGGGAGGGGGGGTGGCGAAGACTGCTGGGTCGCTTAGAGGCCCCCGGCCCCGGCAATGCCCGGTTTCCTGCCGCTGCGCGAGAGACAAAAGGCAAGCGGGCCGCCTTTCCGGCGCTCCCGCCGAGGCCGGCGCTCAGCCAGCTCCTCTTTCCCCGAGCGCGGCCGAGGAGGCTATTCCTTGGGGTTCGCGCGGCGGGCGGCGGATTCCGGCTCCGCTGAGCGCCGGGGCGAAAGCGCGCAGTCCCCGCTTGGGCGCCGCCGGGCTGCGCTTTCGGCCTGCAAGGCGCGGCCAGCAGGAGGAGGCGCCGGCTCCGCGTAAGGTAAGAGCGGCTGGCGGTGGCGCTTGGAAAGCCAGGCCAAGCGGGGCAAGTGAGCTTGCGGTCCCCGAGAGGGACGGGCCGCGCGGGCTGGGCTGGGCTGGGCTGGGCTGCTAGCTGCCGCTGCCGCTGCGCCCGCTCGTGCCCAGAGCGGACCTTTGGTCAAAGGGCGGCGCGCCAGCAGCAGGCTGGGCGGCTCGCTCCTCCGCGGTCCTGCCGGAGGCGTCTCCCAGGCTCGCCACATCCTGGCTCTGCCGAGCCCTGCTCTGGCTGCCCGAGGGGACGCGGATGGAGTCCATTTTAAGGTCAGCTCCTGCGCCCTTACCGGGGCTGCGGCGGGGGAGGGGGGGAGCCGGTGCCTTTTGCGCAGATGGGAAAGCGGAGGCATCCGCCTCTTGGTGCGGCCCGACTTTCCTGCGCAAGAGCCCCCCGGGCCGCCCGACCGAAGCGGCGCGTTTTGTGGCGCCCTTGCCGGGGAAAGTGGGATGATAATCCGGAGGAGAAACAGGGCTGTGGGGCATCGGCAGACTAAAACGCGCCAAGGAGTTGGGAGACTTTGGCGTTAAGATTTTCCTGTAACAATAACAATAACAACAATAATAACAATAACAACAACAATAATGATGATAATGATAACAATAACAATAATAATACCGGATGCGTTCCTGGGACAAGGAGAAGGATTTAAGGCTGGATTGGTTTGGTCTTGGTTTAGCATATCGTTCGAGAAGAGCCCTGGCTAAGATGCTAGCATAACTGAGCACCGTTTAGCAGGATGCGTGGATTTCAGTTAGTTTAGTAGAAAGGGGAAAGCGATGCAATTAACGTTCCGATGCTGTGGATCTCCCCACACTTGCTGTCAGGGAAACAAGAGTTTAACTTTGTTTATCTGCAGGATAAGGAGGAAAATCCCCCTTGCTCCAGTGCTTCTATCCCTGCATTACTAATGACTAGATTACATACAGTTTCGTGTTTGAGGAGAGGTGAAGAAATGCTTTTTATTGTTGGCAATATTGCAATGTATGTGACAGTGCATTTCTCACTGCAATCTGGCTTTTCTTCTATTTCTGTGCTACTGCTGCTCATTCCTGCTGCTTGGGATACATCTTGGATAGTTTGTGACAGCACTAAGTGCTCCTCTTTTCTTCTTGGTCCTTTAGGAATGGAAAATAAGCTTGTTACCAGTGGACTTGATTATAAAGTAAAATAATCAAGTGTTTGTTATCTAATTGCCAGCCTTGATTAGAAATATGTTCACTAGACGTTGAAATGTGATCATGTTTGATAAAAAGGTCATTTTTGATAGCATAGCTAATCATGTTTAAAAATAGCATTGAACAACACTTTTGTTATAACCTCTTAGAATTCCTCAAGTACTATATTGAGAACTTTTCCACCACAAAGTAAATTTCAGCACTCACCAATTTTCTGATTCTATCTTCTGACTGACAAAGGAGAGGGCAAAAGATGATGTTTCGCACCAGCAACAAACTCCTTTCGGGGGCATACATGCATTTATACACACATATCAAGACTGCAGCTCTCAGAAAAAACAGCCAGCACTACCAAGACCGTGTTTCCTGAGCATTTGTAGAGTTATAATTTTAAAGTACCCAGAGGGCATAGGTAGGAAAGACTGTCCCAAAATACGGCCAGGTATTAAAACTGACTGAAAACAGATGGACATATTTCTCACAAAGAAGGACTCTGAATCTTTCTCTAGTCGTAAAGAAATAATTATAGCTTAGTGATTGTCTCATATACTGTTTGCAGTTATGATAATGATTAAAAAAAAGCTTTGTGAACAATCCTTACATTTCTGGTCTTTATAGGTCTATACAAAAAAAAAAAAAAAAGAAGAGAAAGCTGAAGTAAGATCATAAAGCATAGTAATGGTTTCACTTAGCAACTACCTCACTTATCTACCAAATGGCGAGTCCCAGTTGTAGCTGCTAATGCTACTTGCATTGATATTAATTGCAGTTCCCCGTTTGGTATGGTTAAATTAAACATATGGAGGAGAGGATTAAAAAAATTGATGGTTCTTGGAGCTGCCCGATTAAAAGATCTTTTCTGGAGTCTTTTGCAAGGAGACTGTCCTGATGGGCCTGATTGTCCAATCACTTTCCTGAGCTAGCCTTTTTAGAGGATCGTGATAGAGCCGCAGGGGAGACTTAGTTCTACCAGTAGAAGAACATATATGTAGCTCAGGGTTGAATTGTGGAGACCTGGTGCTCTCTCAGTTTGGTTGCTTGCAAACATTTCATTACCAGACTAGGTAACTGTGTTCAGTACTAGAACATAGAACAAGGTTGGGAGGTAACTTGGAGATCTTCTAGTCCAATCACTTGCCCATGACAGAAGATCCTATACCTTTCCAGACTTTATTTGGGCTTGATAGAATGGATACTTGTGATCATAGAAAGAATGATAGAGTTGAAAGGACCTCAGAGGTCCTCCAGTCAACCCCCCCATGCAAGTGAGAGATGCTATACCATTTCAGACAAATGGCTGTCCTTCTTAAAAAAAGGTCCAGTAATGGAATACCCAGAACTTCTGGAAGCAAGTTGTTCCACTGCTTTATTTTTCTCACTGTCAGGAAATTCCTCCTTAGTTTCTAACTCCAGCATTCATTTGTTTTTCTCCTTGATTAGTTTCCATCTATTGCTTATTGTCCCGCCTTCAGTTGCTTGGAGAATAGGTTGATCCCCTCTTATTTGTAACAGCAACTCAAATATTGGAACACTACTATTATGTCCTCCCTAGTCCTTCTTTTCACTAGATTAAATGTACCCAATTCCCGCAACTGTTCTTTATATGTTGAAGAATCGTATTTGTTGCTCTTCTCTTCACTCTTTCTAGAGTCTCAACATCTTTTTTACATTGTGACGATAAAACTGGATGCGTTATTCCAAGTGTGGTCTTACCAAGGCATTATAAAGTGGTACTAACCCATCATGTAATCTTTATTTTATCTTTCTTTTAATGCTGCCTAGGACTGCGTTGGTTTTTTGGGCAGCTGCAGCACACTGCTGACTTTATATTTAAGTAATTGTCCACTAGGACTCCAAGATGCTTCTCACAGTTACTACTATTGAGCCAGGTACCACCTATTCTATACTGGTTCATTTGGTGTCCATTAGGATTTGAAGCCATCTCACAGTTACTGCTACTAAACCAAGTTCCACCTATTCTATGCCTACGTATATTTAGAAGGGAACAGGTTTTGCTTTCTGTTTATATACAATAGCTTGCATTGTCAGTTTTGAAGGGAGTGTTGTTTTCTTGATATTTTCTGCTTGATTGGTTGTCTGGTATTAATCCTTATGTCATAAAAGACTTTTGGGAAACCAATTCTGAAAATAAAGCCAAGCCAGCGAGAATTGCACATTTATCTTTTGTTTCCCAGGACATATTTCATAGGGTAGTTATATATTTTTGTACAGTTTTATTGCAAGAAAACAGTTTAATTGCTGAAGAACAGTTAAAAAGAGCTGTGGTGGTACAGTGGTTAGAATGCAGTATTGCAGGCTTAATTCTGCTGAAGGAAATAATAATAATAAATAAAGAAATGTAGTACAATATATTATAGCATTAAGAAGAGAGTTACTCTGTAGGCATTTGTTATCTTGCTGTTGAAAAAAAGATTTTCTTAACCTTTCAGTTGATGTAAAACAATTATAAACACATGCCTGCAATCAGTTACATCCCTCTCCTATTAAGACACATGATTGTCCCATCTAAATCAATCTGAATCCATCTGTTTTCCTGGATTGATATGTTCCACCCCAGCATCACCCCCTGGGAATGAAATGTACCTCCATTTGGAGGAATCCACACCTTTGAAGTATGTTGTTAATAGCCTCCTTAAGTGGTCAATTGTGATCAATTAGATGGACAATAGAAGAAGAGATAATGAAAGGTAATCTTTGCATGGAGAGATTTGTCTTTTGCAGGAAAGATGTAAATCTAAATTAGAGAGTTTTACAATGCAGTTACTCGACTTCTAAAAATGTTAAAGGTATAAGAAGGATAGGGCATCTTCCTGCATTTTGTAGAATTTTCCTCCCATGTCTCTTGTGATGTGCTAGGAACCTCTTCCCAGATCTTTAACTTTGATCAAAGAATAAAAGTCTGCTTTGTTTAATTTGCAAGCCTCCATTGAAGTCTTTGTTTTGGTTCATTTTTGGCTTAAGCATACTGCCAGACCTTACACTGCTGACTGCTGACTGCTGACTGCCAGCATTTCAGCAATTCGAATCTCACTGGCTCAAAGTTGACTCAGGCTTCCAACCAAGGTTGATAAAATGAGGACCCAGATTGTTGGGGGTGATATGCAGACTCAGTAAACCACTTAGAAAGCACTGTAAGGCACTGCGAGGTGGTATATAAGTCTAAGTGCTATTGCTATCAATCAACAGAGTTCAACTATTGATACTGAATAAGACAGAATTCCAATCCAAAAAGTAGGAGATTGTTTGTGGTCTCATTATAGGGTGAGCTCATCTTCAGAGGTTTAAAAGAAGCCAACCTGGAAGTTAGCAGGAGTTTTCTTAGAGAAGAGTTTCATATTGCGGTGCTGCCACTGAGAAGGCCCTGCCCTGCCCAGGGCAGAATACCGAAGCAGCATTCCCAGTAGACCTTGATAGGTAGGTTTGCTGCTTCCATGCCTGCTTCATAATTTTACAGACGGAATTTATCATCTTACTTTAACCCTAGCTGTCTTCCAGCAATGAGTGCAACCTTTTCTGTCATTCTGTTGTATGGTCTCATTTTGCGAACCTGTTAATCTGGCTACATTCTGCACCAGTTGCAGATTCTGAGCCTTCATGAAGGGAATCTTTGGGGGAGATGAAAGAGGAAATGCTGGTAAATCTGTATACCCTAGCCAGTTGAAGCAATATCCTGATTGATTTATGGAGGGAAGATTCTTTGGGACAAGGGGGACCCTTGGTGGGGTCAGAACTCCCATTCTCTTCCTTGACAGCGGAGAAAGAATCCATTGATAAATATATTTTAAAGGTGGGATGAGATGGGATTAATGGAGGTGAGGAATCAGTTTTTTAATGGATTGTAAAAATAGAGGAAGGCAGATTGAAGGAGTGTATTTTTGAACCTGTTTCAGAGGGTTTATTCTTGTTGGAAATGCAACTGGGAACAGTTGGGGGACTTGTTCTGCCTTCAGATCAATTGTTTTGAAGTGGTGTCTTGGGATCTCCATGGAGTTGCCTTTTTGCTCCTTGCATTCATTCCCTCCATCTTGGGTATCCAGATATGAATGAGAACCTCTCTGCAGAGGTGTAAC